ATGCTGTTATAGATCTGACTTAGTTCAATATAAATAAACACAAATATAAATCTCGCGTAACCTGTTTACGCTGTACAGGAATATACGGATTCGCTTGTTTCGCCGGACACCAACACTTGCCGTTCACTGAGGAGCAATGCTTTCCTACAAATATTATCCACTTCACAATCTTTGTTTTATTTTATCGTATAGTCGCAATTTTCAAGTATTCGGGGTATTCTGAAACTGAAAAACTGGGTGGCGTGCGAATCTTGTAGAGACTACATCGGCCTAGGCGTAGAGCTATTAAGTAAACAGGGCCTAAATTAATTTAGTAGTTTCATTTAATTGTTTGTCTTGCTTTTATTTGTCAGTACAGAATATTGTAAATTAAAATATTACTACAATGCAATACGCGTAGTATTTCATCAGACATCTGCACTAATAAATACTGTACAAGGAAAACTACAGCTTAAATAATAGTAGACGTTTCTTGTTTTGTCAGGAAACATCACAGCTCACTTCGACACGGCTTTTGAGTTTTGTAACCGGCCGAGGCGAAAGTAAATCATGCAGTCGGGAAAACGTCTCATTTTGAAAGATTATTTTGCAAAACATACTCGTACACACAGGAATCATAAAAATACAAATGTTGAATTGTTATTGTCAAATGTCAACTGTCAAGTTCAGTTATTTTTAGACAATATGGTGTTAGCCAATCAGAATGCAAAATTGACCGGCCCAGACCAGGGCTTCCTCGTGTCTCGCCTCGTCCTCACACTGAAGCCCTGGGAACGAGGTTGGGCGATATGCTCATATTAAAAACAGAAAAAAAGTTGGGGTAACCGAACTCGCTTACCCTCGAAATGCAATAGTCGATATATGACCCTCGACATGTTACCCTAGATTTAGTAGTCGATATTTAACCCTCGAACACTCGCCCTCGACATTTTACCCTCGACACTCGACCAATAGATAAGCTCTTGGGTGCGCCGTCAGGCGCATAGAATGGGCTTGACTAATGATTGAGGGTGGAGGGTAATATGTCGACGGTCGGAAAAAAATGTCGAGGGACGGGGAAAAAATGTCCTGGGTAGGATAAAATGTTGTGGATCGAAAAATATCAAGACAATACTTTAAAATTTGGTATTCTATTTAATAGTCCAAAAATTATTTTTCGTTGTGAACCCGCTATGATATATATATATATATATATATATATATATATATATATATATATATATATATATATATATATATATATATATATATATATATATATATATATTATTATATTATATTGAACTGGTTTCTTCACAGAAATTACTTGGTGTAATCATTGATGAAGACTTGACTTTCAAAGAGCATATAAACAAACTCAGTAAAAACCTTAGTAAAAAGATCGGCCTGCTGAGAAAGATACGAAGATACTTACCACTACTTGAGAGAAAGCTATTTTACAACGCTGTCGTCAAGCCAGTTATGATGTATGGTAGTTCTATTTGGAGTTGCTGCTCGCGAAATAATCTGCTTAGAATTTTTAAATTACAAAAAAGAGCAGCTCGGGTAATTTTAGGAACTGACACTTCCTCCAGGTCAATAGCCAATTTCAATAAATTGAACTGGATACCTTTTTATGACGAAGTTAAAATTAACAAATGCACTTTAGTTTACAAGAGCCTGCATGATCAAGCTCCGCAGTATATTAAGAACTTATTTAAAACAAACAAAATTGCAATGAAATTAATGGTAGACAAACTCGTCATGGTGAATATAATCTAGTGTGTCCTAAATATAATTATGCAACTGAGGGAGGAAAATCTGTAACGGTCAGCAGCATTAAAATATGGAACAATCTCCCGAACGATATTAAGACGAAACCTAGCGTTAATTCCTTTAAGTTTGCCCTTAAAAAATACTTCTTGGAATCTTATAAGGGCATCGATCGCTTTGAATTATTATTGTGATCAGCAAGTTGTACTGTATATAATTTGTATATATAAATTTATAATCCTAAGATCTTTTACATATTTACTCTAAGTAGCTTTTAGACGTTTTAAAGTAGAATTAATAACTTTGTATGTATTGTATATGAGGGCCACAGGTTTTTCAGTTATATTGCTGTCATGTGTTTTTACCCTCTTTAAATAAAGTTGTTCATTCATTCATTCATTCATTCATTCACTAGTCCATCACCACCGGGATGTACACCAACGATTCTCCCAACTTTCCAATTTCTTCTTGGAGAGTCTGGATCGACTACCAACACAATGTCTCCTTCCTTTAAGTTCTCTTCTCGATCAAACCATTTCTTACGTGATCCAATACTCGTAATATACTCTCGCATCCACCTCTTCCATGTTTGACGTACCAATTCTTGGATTCTTCGCCACCGTTTTCGCGGATCAAAAGCTAACGTGTCGACATTTTCTGGATGGCGTTCACCACCCATATGTCCTATTAAAAAGTGGTTAGGGGTCAGTATTGGATCATCGTTCGGATCGTTGCTCGTCGCTGTTAAAGGTCTTGAATTTAACAAACTTTCGACATCCGTGAACACCATCAATAATTCTTCTTCTTTCACGTCAGCGTTTCCCAGATTTGCTTTTATGGATCTATTGGCGGATTTAATCATTTTTTCAAAAACACCCCCAAAATGAGGTGCTAATGGTGGATTCCAATGCCAACGAATCCCGTTATTTGATGTCATACGCTGAATTATGTCTTGATCTAGATGCTGTACCAACTCTTGCAATTCATTGTTGCCTCCAACGAAATTTGTCCCGTTATCACTGAGCATGTCTCTTGGCCAACCCCGTCTGGCAACCATATGTGTTAAAGTTTTCAGAAATCCATCAGTTTCCAAAGACCATGCCATTTCCAAATGGACACAATGTGTTTGAAGGCATAGGAACAGGCAAAGGTATCTCTTGATTCGGGACTTGCCACGACCTTGTATGGTAAAGAAAGGACCAACAAAGTCTACTGCGCAATTTGTAAACGGTTTCATTGTGAGTTCTAATCGAATACGTGGTAGAGGGGCCATTTGTTGTTGTAACGGTTTCCCGCGGAATCTTCTCTTGCACTCACTGCAGTCTTTCATGATTCTTTTAACCGTTTCCCGTGCATGTACAACTATATAGCTCACGCGAAGATGATTCAGGGTATAATTTAGTCCCATTTGATGTCCTTCTTTCTCATGATGGTACTTGACGATCAGTTCTGTAACCGGATGTTTCTTTGCCAGGATAACGGGGTACTTCACTCGATTGGGTAAATGTTCTGCGTAACGTAATCTTGTGTTGGATCTTAACAGTCCGTCCATTAATATCGGTGTAAACGTAAGGATAGAGCTCTTTTTTGGTAGATTTCTGTTTTGCTTCAAAGCTTCGATCTCGTCAGGATAACTTTCGTACTGTGCTTTTTTAATAATTTTTTCTTCTGTGCTGCGTACCTCGTCTGCTGTGAGTTCTCCATGAGTGCGTTCTTCCCTTGATCTACGGCAGTTATTGATGAATCTGTGGACCCACGAACGTACTCGTACTAACGAAAGTCCAAATTCCAACTTGTTCTCATTGTTTACTCTGTACGACTTCGAATATCGTAAAGGATCCATACGACATAATTGTTGTGCTTCTTGGGTCGTTGTATTGAGACTTAAGGACTGGTCATTTTTAGACGCACTCTCTCTTGTTTTCGTGCTTCAACTTTCAACTCTTTACACGTTACTGAGTTAAGTTCTATTTCGATCTTTTCTTCAGGCCATGCATCTTTAGATTTCTTCAGAAATTCCGGGCCAAACCAGCACTGCTGATTGTTTTTCATCTCGCTGACATTCATTCCTCGCGAACCATAATCTGCAATCTCTCCAACTCGATGTGCAACGAAGGGCTTATAATCTCGACTTCGTCCGTGTATCCAGTGGAGCACGTTCATGCTATCCACCCAAAAGGTTGCATCTTTCACAGGAATTTCTAAAGCTGTAGAGACTTGTTTGGTTAAGCGAACTCCAATCAGCGCCCCCATTAGTTCTAGTCGTGGTATACTTATAGCTTTTAGTGGTGACAGTCTTGTCTTCGAGGCTATCAACTGTGTCGTAACGGATTTATCTTCATACTCGTATCTCGCGTAAACCACTGCCGCGTATTCTTTCTCTGATGCATCCGAAAAACTGTGTAGTGTAACGCTGGTTACTAGATTACTATTCTTTAAACACCGTGGTATCTTGATCTCTTGAAGAAGGTGCAATTCGTTAAACCAGTTTTTCCATTGGTTTTTAAGTTTGTAAGGTAATTCATCATCCCAATCTAGGGCTTCCAACCAGGCTTGTTGCAGGTAGAGCTTTGCTTTAATAATAAAAGGCGAGAGAAAACCAAGTGGGTCAAATAGTGAAGCCGTTTTCTTCAGTACATTTCGTTTTGTGTAGTGGAAATCATCAGTTAGGGAGGAGTAGTCAAACAGAAACTCGTCGTCTCCTGCGTCCCATCGAATGCCTAAAGTTTTCGTTGTTGGCAGTTCATTCTTCTCTAAACTAACATTGGACGAACAATCTTTGGCGGGAATATCTTCCAAGACTTCCTTACGATTGGACACCCATTTACATACGTGGAAACCAGCTTTGTCACCGTTTCGCAGTTTCGACAGAATCTACAGAAGGCATTACATCATCCATATAACAGTGTTTTTCAACCGCGTTTGCTGCCAAGGGATACTCTTCTTTGTGATTTTGAGCGTGTTTCTGCCAGGTATATTGTGCACAAAAAGGGCAGTAACATCCTCCGAAAACAAATCTCAGGAATTCATATACTTCTGGCTTTTTGGATAGATCTAAGTCCCTCCATAGAAATCGATGTAATGGTCGATCTTCTTCGCGCAAAACTAGTTGATGGTACATCTGACTTATATCACCAGCAAGTGCCACAGTTTCTTTTCTAAATTTGACTAAGATATCGAAAACATTACTTTGTAACTTAGGACCAGGTAACGCTTCGGTGTTGAGACTCTTGCCTTCATAAGGTGCTAACCATCGAAAACTATTCTTACTTTGGTACTTGCTCTCTCAGGCCGTACTACGGGAAAATGGGGAAGAAGCCATTCCTGCTGAGGCTTTTCTTCATCTTTCGGTACTCGACGAATGTACTGTTTTTCAAGATATCCATTCAATACTTGTTGGTAGGCCAGGGCTACTTCTTTATTTTTCAACAGCTTTTTCTCCGTGGACAACAATCTCTGCTTGGCCATTGGTAGATTGGTGGGAAGGTTAGGACGGTTTTCCTTCCAAGGCACCGCAACCTCGTAGTGCTTACCATCAAATTTCATTGACTGGCTCACCTTTCCCCATGCTAACTTCTCTTCGGGCGTCATTAGTGATTCTCTGGTGGGAGTTATTACGACACTTTCAAGGTCCCAAAAACGTTTGAGGGTGGAATTCAGGTCTGAGCATTCATTTGGAACATCATTTGTCGTTGCCTCCTCTACGTGGATTCGGAAAGTATGACTAAATCCAATGTGATGATGCCCAACATTACTTCGTTGCTCTATTTTACCTACCGCCGTCCATCCTAAAGGACAAAGTCTAGCAACTGGATCGTCTTTATTGCCGACAATCTCTTTCATTGAATACATTAATTCATAGTGGTCTGCTCCCAAAAGGACATCGATCTGATTTCCTTTCGCTAACTTTGGGAATGGGATCTTTTTTAGGTAATTCCAATTTTGTTTTATGGTTAACCAGTTAACAGCTTTCATTCCCCCCACAGATCTTTCCCGAGGTTTTTGCCACAATTTCTGTATCTACTCTTCCGTCCATGCTTTCCAGCCCAATCGTAAACGTGTTCGACATAAAACTAATTGTCTGGTCATTTGCTACCTTGACTTCGATTTTTTCTTTCACTCCGGTTAAACCTAGTTCTTCTATAACATCCTCGTTGATGTAAGTAGTGTCACTTCCTTCATCCAACAGACAGTTTACATAAACTTTACGTGTTCCACTTTTTAAAATAACTGGGATCGTGCGCAGTGCTATTTTCTTGGTATCATGAGCTGTGCTGGTTTTCATTGTAGTAGCTTGTGTATTGCCATCCCCCTCCATGCCAAGAGCCTGTTCTTGAAGATTTTTCTTTTCTGGAACCATTTGTTTCATGGGAGGTTTTTCCGTAACATTGCTATCTTGATTAGGACCTTTGGTATTAACTCTTCTTTGCCCATGGAGTAAACGATGGTGGGTTTCCTTGCAACCATTAATATTACACTGTCGACTTCTTGTACACGAACTCCCCAAATGATCTTTCCCGAGGCATCTGTAACACAGCCCAACTCTTCTCGCAATTTTCCATTTCTCATCAATAGCTTGATTTCGGAAAGAGTCACATTTCCAAATTGGATGACTTCCTGCACAAGCAGAACATGGATCGTACTCTTTCTTATCGCTTTCTTTATTAAAGAATGACCTATATCTTCTCTCCTTTCTTCTTTCACCGTCCGAATTGATTCCATTTTTAATTTCAGATGCTTGCATTTGATATTCCGCTTCTTCAGCTACCCAATCTTTCAATTTTTCCAAGGAATCTTTGTAGTGGTTTTCTTTTACCCAACGGTAATACTGTGCAAGTAAACGCTCCGGAATTTCCCCCAATATTATTGTACGCAATGTTCCACTCTCCAAATCTGACTCGCGACCATTTTCTTTCAGAGTAATTACAGCTCGTTCCAAAATATCTGCAAATTTTTCCAATTCTTTTGGATTGTTCTCTTCGAGGGGTCTTAATTTCTTTAACTCATCCAAATGCGATTGTACTTGTCTCCGACTGCCACCGTATTTGCGAACCAGGCGTGCTTTTGCTGCTTCTACGCCTCTGTTGAATATCCCAATCCTTTTATAGTCTCTGCTGCTTCACCAGTAAGACAAGCTTCCAAACGTAGCATTTTGAAATATGGTGAAAGGGATGTTAAATCAACACAGCTTATAAATGCTGCATGCCATTTTTGAAAATCCATTTTGTTACCTGAAAATACTGGAATCCGAATTCTCTCCAATTGTGCTTGGGACGTAGTCGCCCCCGCCCCTCTGGTAGGTGTGTTACTGTTTGCTGGAAGTGATATCTGAGCTGTTCTCATTGGGGTTTCATTGACCTCGATTCTTTCTACTGTGTTTGACTGTTCGCTATTTTGTTGATTCTCATTGTCTTCATTATTCCCCTTCTCTAATACAACTAACTCTTGACGTTTTTTCTCTGCTTGCTCTTCGGCTGTTCGTAGTTGCTTTTCTTGTTCTTCTAACAATTCTCTTTTCTTTTGAACTTCTGCCTCGTTTCGCATACGTGCCCAAAGTTCCGCATTTTTTCTCCTTTCATCTCCATCTTGCCTCTGTTTCGAAGTCTCGCCCACGTTCGACTCTTTGCTGCTTGTTACCGTCACTGCGCTTGAACTCCACTGTTTCTTTGCCAACGATGTTAAAAACATACGCGCTGAACTTGTTTCATATTCCACTTGATCGACCAGTGCATCCGCTTCGTCATTCACTTTCTTAGCATTTTCATATTCTTTGCTTCGCTGATAAATATCCTCGAGTTGATTCATAATATGCAATGTTTCGTCTTTCTGTTCGTCAATTCTTAATAACAATTCTTTAACGTCTTTTTGTTCAGTATTCGAGTTCGATAGCATGGCCGCCATGTTATTTAGTAACCGTGTCATACGTGATTTTGCACTACGTTTTTCCCCTTTTAAATTCATGATATGTTCCTCAAGTTGTTTCTCGTTGATTGTAGCTTGTTCCTCGTCGATTCCTGCTGTTTCTTCTTGGTTCTGTACTTCAATTTCCTCAGCCATCGTTCGTAAAAGGCGTCGATAAAACTTTAAATTAAATTTTCTCTTAGTTTTTACACGATATTCTATCCCGATTTTGCACACTTCCGGTGTACGAAGCGAAAATGAAACTACGAATTTTCGCTCTAAATTCGTCGAAAAACCCCTTAAATTAACTTAAATCCGGTTCGTTAGGACCAAATGTAAACACGGGTTTACTTATTTCGAATATCTCTAAGCTATAGACTGCTTTTTCCCGACGAAATAAACCCAAAACCCACGCTGACTGAATGTTTTGTCTAATACATTACTAAATACAACACTTACATGAAGTCTTAAACATAAAATAAACAATAAATTAATTAACATAAATTATAAAGCTATGAAAATGTCAAAATCGTTTCTACAACATTGCTTTTCTCAAGGATCCATTTCTGTTCACAACTTCACATTATAGCGCGGAATTCGATGATGTAAGTGGGACGACGGATGCGGAAGTCTTTTTACTTTTTAATGGATCTATATGGGTATAAAAGTTAATGGAATTACGTGCAGGGGCGTCGTGGGTCCCATGTTTTAGGGGGGAGCAAGGGCAGCATTTTCCCGCAAACACAATTTTTTCTGACATATTATTAAAATAATGGGGGGGGGGGTTAATAGGGGTATACAAATCCGCCGATTTCGAAACAAAATTCGCCGATCAGACAATGGTCTTGTCCAAATTTGGATCCACTAAAAGCTCTACTATGAAACTGACAATCCAGGATCCGAATTAAATTGCAAGCTAAATCCACAATCTGAGCAAAAATATTAGATAAATCCGCAATCCGCTGTACTAATAAAATCCGCAAATCGGTGTAAAATATTCGCCAGATCCAAAATCCGAACAATTTTTTCGGTGAAACTTTCCGACGATCCGAAAACCTATTCATCCGCCACACTAATATATGAAATCATATTGAATTAAATATTGACTATTCTATAAACTTATATATATATATATATATATATATATATATATATATATATAGTTGACTCAAACCAGTTAAGCCAAGGAAAAGGTTTACACTAAATAAGTTCCAACTTCGTGGTATAATTACTAAAGAATAGCGCGACCAGATAAATCCTAAAGAAATTAATGTTATAATTATATATATATATATATATATATATATATATATATATATATATATATATATATATATATATATATATATATATATATATATATATATATATATATGAATAGGTTTTTGGAATCATGCCTGGTATATAAATGAATATAATTTTTTTATTTAAAAAATTAAAAAAGACTTCTACAGGCAATAAAAAATTTAAAAATTTTGTCCCAACGTTTCGCCGGTTAAGGCTTCTTCAGGGGAATGTTATAACTAGATCACGTCCGTTGAATATATACTACAAAGCTAGACTAAATTTAAATAAAAAGGGTGGAATGTGGACAATAACGAGCTAAAATTTAAAATGTTGTTATTCAGGCGTATCATGCAGAATATATATTTTAAATGTCAATTGTTCTACCAATGCATCCGTTTATTACGTTCCCCGCTCTTTTCTTAATTTCAAACGCCTCAATGCACTTACGCTCATCATTATTGTTTATGTTGGAATGTAGGATTCTCCAAGTTATAATTGGCATGTCATCTTCGTTACTCCTGTGGGATTCAATATGTTTGTACATGGTTTGCTTATTCATGGTTTGCTTATTCATGGTTTGCTTATTCATGGTCAAATGTTCTTTAATGCGCGTGCCAATTGTCCTACCAGTTTCAATAAACTCTATTGCAATGCAGGCATTCAATTTCGTATACAACGCTCTTATTGTGGCAACGATTTGGTTTTTTCCCCGATTTGCAAGTCTCGCAATTATTAGGGCAACTCATTGTTTCTTTCCGTGGGGCAAACCTCTGTGATGACGACTTCCCGTTCAGAAAATGGATTTTGATATTATTTAGTCCCGATCGACGGACTACAGCAAGAGAGGGTCGTTTAAACTCCTCGTTAATATAGGGTAGCTTCATATAAATGCAATTTTCCTGATCGTTAATTCTCGGTTGATTGTGTAATACACGTTGAATGGAAGCTCTAACAAATGATTTGGGGTAGCCATTTCTAGCAAACACTTGGGTTAGTTTACGCAAGGATTCTTTTCGATTATTATCATCTGTTGAACGAGAAACGGCACGGTTTATTTCGCCGATTAAAATAGCTCGTTTAGATGCGAGGGATCCGTGACTGTCCCATGGAACGATGCAATTGCTGTGGATAGGTTTTATGTACAGCTGGGTGGAAAAGTTATTCGTTTCAGGGTTGAATGTAACCATAGTATCTAGAAATGGCAATTGCCCTTCGTTTGGTAATTCGATAGTAAATTTAATGGCTTCATTTATGCTATTAGCAATCGTCAGGAGTCTATCTCCAGTTATTTGTCTCGATAACATAAATGCAAAATAATCATCAATGTAACGTTTCAATATAACTAAGCCATTAGTTATGGTGGTAATTTGCTGATCAATTTCATTCATGTATATTATTGCAAGTACAGGTGCAAGGTTGTTGCCCATGGCTAAGCCGATCAGGAAAATTGCATTTATATAAAGCTACCCTATATTAACGAGGAGTTTAAACGACGCTCTCTTGCTGTAGTCCGTCGATCGGGACTAAATAATATCAAAATCCATTTTCTGAACGGGAAGTCGTCATCACAGAGGTTTGCCCCACGGAAAGAAACAATGAGTTGCCCTAATAATTGCGAGACTTGCAAATCGGGAAAGAAACCAAATCGTTGCCACAATAAGAGCGTTGTATACGAAATTGAATGCCTGCATTGCAATAAAGTTTATATTGGTGAAACTGGTAGGACAATTGGCACGCGCATTAAAGAACATTTGACCATGAATAAGCAAACCATGTACAAACATATTGAATCCCACAGGAGTAACGAAGATGACATGCCAATTATAACTTGGAGAATCCTACATTCCAACATAAACAATGATGATGAGCGTAAGTGCATTGAGGCGTTTGAAATTAAGAAAAGAGCGGGGAACGTAATAAACGGATGCATTGGTAGAACAATTGACATTTAAAATATATATTCTGCATGATACGCTTGAATAACAACATTTTAAATTTTCGCTCGTTATTGTCCACATTCCACCCTTTTTATTTAAATTTAGTCTAGCTTTGTAGTATATATTCAACGGACGTGATCTAGTTATAACATTCCCCTGAAGAAGCCTTATTAACCAACGAAACGTTGGGACAAAATTTTTAAATTTTTTATTGCCTGTAGAAGTCTTTTTTAATTTTTTAAATAAAAAAAATTATATTCATATATATATATATATATATATATATATATATATATATATATATATATATATATATATATATATATATATATATATATATATATATATATATAATTATATAGTATATATTGGGAAAACATAAACTGAGTCCGATTTCCGATATTTTATCTATATACTTTTTTTATTCAAACATAGAGAAGTAATATTCCCGCTCATATATATATGCAAATATGCTCGACCACGCGAAGATTCCGACAACATAATGATTTCCAATTTTCCGACGGGTCCCAACAATAGCGGGGGCATGCTCCCCACCCCCGTCCCCCTCCCCCCTCCTGGCCCCCTCACCCCGACCACGACGCCAATGATTACGTGCAACTATTAAACCGATTCTACAAAATTATGGTTGCCATCTTTTTTTTCCGAAATCCATTTCAACCGTGGTATAATCCCTGCCATCTAGAAAGTATAAATGTATAATATCAGGTATTATTCTCTTTGAGAAATTAAATTTTAAAAATACCAATGAAAGTTTATAAACCAAGGGCCGTTTGTTCAAAAGTGGGTTAGCGCTAACCCTGGGTTAAAATTTAACCTGCTGTTTTAGTTTATGTATTTCTGCACGTCTGTTTATTTCAAACTTCAGAGATGAAAACTCTTATCGATCTAGACAAGATCTCTGAAAAAATATTTCCAAATTTATAGACAAGCTGTCAGGACGGTATGCTTTGAATTTTAGGTTAACCTAGGGTTAAGCTAACCCAGCTTTGAACAACCGGACCCTGTAGACTTAGCAAACAATACTGGCTAACCTCGTTCTGATGCAATTTGCACATTTAAAAGGACTAGGTCTACAATGTTCCTACATGCATTGTTTTCACTCTTAAACTTTTCACTAGCTTGCTGTTGAAAATTAAAGTGCGCCGCCCTTGAATGAGCGCCGCAGTTATTCACAACAACGCACCGAAGCACCGTCTGAGAAATTGTTTGTGACGCCAAACCGCGGAATACGAGGTTGCATGCAATCTTTAATAAACCTCAAAACATTTCCTCTTCTGCATTTCAGTCTTTTTATGTTGTATTTTGTTGCTAATATTCCTTGTTATTACTTACAAATAAAACACTTTATTGAAAGAGCGCCGCTTTGGAACAAGTTCCGCCTCAAATAATCGCCGCATCCGTAACACTCTACCGTGTCTCTCCGATGCCAACAGTCCCACACCAGTGGTTAGAGATAATAAAATAAAAAATTCAAGGATCCCAGATGCTTTACTATGAAACAGAGATAAAATTACATAATTATACGGCACCTAGCCAATCATGGATTGTGCTACAATTTTCCCTTGTAGTTGTGTTAAGATATTATTATTATTATTATTATTATTAATCAAAATCTTTACACACGGTAGCCTATTCAGTAACTATTAAAAACTTACTTTATATTTACAAGAGGTACTGGTTTTCAAAGGGCCGTGTAATAAAAACGAAATCCTATTTACTACGATACAATACTAAATTAAGGTATAATTAATGTATAATTAATGATCCAACCAATTAAGCGGTTTTATCAAGTCGCCGTTTGAAAGCGTTAACTGATAGCTCACAGAAATCTTCAGTTATGTCATTAGATAATTCGTTCCAGGACTTTGCCGCTCTATATGAGAAGCTTATTTTTAAGAAATTAGTCCTTGGTTTTGGGAGTGCCAATTTGGTGTTATTACTTCTCAGACTGTAATTATCGTTATTGCACTCAGTAAATAATTGCTGTAAATAATCCGGTCCTTGCCCGGTTAAAACTTTGAATGTCATAACAGTTTTCCTATTTTTTAAGTCAGCTTCAATTGGTTTCTAATTAAGGTCTTTCAAGATTTGAGAGGAACGAATATCGTATTTGTACTTGAAGTAATTACACGCGCAGCTCTCCTTTGTAATTTTGAAAGTTTATTAATTATAGTACATGATCCATCGTTCCATATTGTAGAGCAGTAATTAAAGTGAGGCAAAACAAAGGCATTATACATTTTAATTAATGTGTGTCTAGGAACGAAAGGTCTAGCTCTTTTTAGCAGAGCTATACTATTTGAAATTTTTTTGCATTGAACTTCATTGTGTTTGTCACACTTCAACTACTCATCGAGGACCATACCTAGTGACTTTTTATAGTATACACGTTTTATATGTCTGCGTCCTAGTTTCAATATTGGGCTATTATGGACACAGGCAAGACGTGATCTTGAGCCGATGAGCATGAACTCGGTTTTCTTATCGTTTAAAGTAAGTTTATTTGCTGTTAGCCATCGGTGGACATTCTCAAGCTCTTCATTAAGTTTGGTTTCAATTTCACTCGAGCTTTGTCCAACACAGGTTAGATTTGTATCGTCAGCAAACATTGAAGGTTTTGACATTTCCAAACTATTTGGGAGATCATTAATATAAAGAAGAAAAAGGATGGGACCAAGATTCGATCCCTGTGGAACCTCACATTTAATATCATTTGCAGACGATTTCTTACCATTAATTGAACAAACCTGCTTTCTGTCCTTGAGGTACGATTTAAACCATTCAAGGCTTCTCCCTTGGATGCCGTACTTTTCTAATTTAGCTAATAGAATTGAACGATCAACAGTATCAAATGTTTTTTTGAGATCCAAGAATAGGACTCCAGTAAAGAGGCCCCTATCCATATTATACAACCATTCATTTGTAGAACTAAGCAGTGTAGTTTCCGTGGAATGTTGAAAACGGAAACCCGACTGCTGGTCCACAAGAACGTTGTTTATTGTCATAAAGGATTTGAGCTGTTCATAAAATACCTTAGCAACAACGGAGATTACAGAAATTGGTCTATAATTTCCGCAGTCATTCCTATTACCGTCCTTGAAGACTGGTGTTACTTTTGCTAACTTCCAGTCGTCTGGGAATATAGCGGTCCGTAATGACAGGTTGAAAATATCAACCAATGGGGCCAGCAATATTGTGTGTTCCGTCTTCACAGTCTTGCACCAATTCCATCCAGTCCTGAAGATTTTTTTGACTGAATGAGATTTAGCGCATCAATTACTTCATCTATAGTAATGAAGTTAAAGTTAAATATGTCATCATGCGTAACAGTCATAAAGCTTAGCGGATCAATGTCACCGTCCTTAATTCCTTCGGACAATTTACTACCTAGCTATAGTTGAAAAATATTCATTAAAACCAGCGGCACTTTTCTCGTCGTTTATTACAGTTTCGCCCTCAAAATTAATTTCCCTTATTTGACTAGTCTCGGATTTTGTATTCAGAAGCTCATTAATAAATTACCAGCTTTCTTTGCTATTGTTAGAATTACTTAATTTGGACTTAAAGTAACTCTCTTTTGAAGTTCTAATCAGATTAGTTACTTTGTTTTTACATTTTTTGTTGGCCGTTTCATAGTAGACAGGTCGCAATCGGATGGCTTGAAAGGCAAGCCTTGCCTTTTTAAATAATCTCTGTGATAACTCAGTCGTCTAATTTCGCTAGTAATCCACGGTTTAAATGTTACGAATTGTAGTACACATCTACATGTCCCAAGCTTGGTTAGAAAGATAAAACGTTTGCAAACTGGAAAATCACACAAAATTATTTTTTTAAGACAATAGTATTCAAAAGTAATGTAAACAACTCAGAATGGTTAATTAAAGTGCTAACATTTCGAAACATATTGCACATGTCAAGAGCAGGAATGGTTATTTCTTTTCCCATATCCTCCAAGCAAGTGCTTCCAGATTTGCGCAGGGCAGTTCCACCACGACTGCGATAATAAATGCAACTGCATATGTCAACACCAATGAGGATAGAAAATAGTTCACCTAAATAAAAAAAATCATCCACAATTTATTGAGTATTGTATTGGGTTAAAATAATTAGTTGGAAAGAATCATCAGAATTGAAATTCAATAACTATAGGCCGTATTCTGTGACCCCAAAAGTCGCTTAGAAAACAAGTTTCGTTGCCCCCATTCGGGGAATACTTTTAGTTTGCATAAATCTATAGATTTTGATACGCTGAGTACGAATTGAGTTGTTGTAACTCGCACAAACCTGCAGTTTTTTTGTATTTTACGATCAAACATCAACAATTTTTATTAAAATTTCCGCCATTTTGTTCAGGAAACTTCATGTTATATACAGTTATTGTACTAGTCCAAGTCTCTTAGCAGGGGGGTTGCACGCGGTATTACGCAGTTTGTTATCATTCTTCTGAGAAAAATATACAGAAATGAAATAAAAATATGATATTTTTTCACAATATAAATGCAAAAGGTACTGGTACATGTTTGTAAATAATTAGGAATGAATCTATTATTCCTTATTGCATCAACTTTTGTTTTTTTTGGCTCATCATGATGTGAAATTGCAAAGACTGTCACTATATCCATAAAGACTCTCACTTTTCATTGGTAAAGTTGTTTATTTTATTTATTACTGAAATTATGTACATAATTTTGGCCTTACAATTTGAAAAGGCAATTTTCCTGAATACTGTCTACCTGAAATTTTTGTCAACAATAAAGTTTTGAAGGTTTTATCCCTCAGAAGAGATTTCAAAATAAATTTTAACTTTGAAATCTTCTAATGGGGTGTTTATATGGAGGTGAGCCAGCCCATGCACCCGAGCTAGCTCTCTTTGCTGAGCTGATTTTATCTCATGTTTACATTAGACCCTTGAGGTGGTCTGTCTTGCCAAAACAAATCACTGGTCTTACCACTATAAATAGTATAATATAAGTAAATATATTTTATTTTCCAAGATCTCACCTAGGCAGGCCAGCTCGGTTCCCATTTAAACACAAGATAAATGTTAGTATAAATTACGTAGCAATGTTAGATCTCGGCAAAGCAAGCTAGCTCGGGGATCTGGGTTGGCTGCCCTCCATATATAAACACACGCCTGGCATTTTTGCATGCGAAAACGCTAGTTCGCCATTCATTATGACCTGCGGTATTCTTCAAAAAATGCTGCGTAAGCAATATTAATTTGACAAGATGGCGGCCGTTCGAAATGGCAATTTTAGTCTTGACCAGGTCTTAAATCAAGATATTTTGAACGACAACTGTGTCGAACGGCCGGTAGATTAATTTCAGAAAGTAATGGAGGCCCTTGGTAGCTGCACTCGGGAGAAAAGCTGCCAAAACGACGCGTTTTTCGTGGATGAATGTGCCGAGCAAGTTGAAACTTTACTCGAAGCTCATAATTCTCTGGATTAAATGTGCCACGGAAGATGTCTAATTCCATAAATCCAGCGCCAATACTACAAAGGGAAGCTCGGCTGTGGCTGGCAGGAATTCGACGGCGGATAGGGGGCAAAACGAGTATTAGAAACCCATATTTATTTACTCAGTTTATCATGTTTTCAATAATCGTAGGAAATGTTCAGGGTTTGTACGGATTCGTTGAACCGTTTTGTTTTCACTGTGATGTCAAGAAGGCTATTGTTATTTATTTTACTTTAATGCGCTTTGTCAACGAGTTATTTGCTTTATTATCTGGGTTGTCCAAGGATGTTGTGCCTGGCTACTTTGGGCAAAGTTTTTCAACTACAGTGTATATATGGACTGGAGAGTGGAATGTCAATGGATTTCCTCAATCAATGTCAATGGATTTCCTAGTAATGTCTGAAATATTATAATTCATTAAAGTATAGTCAGGTATATTGTAACAGTTGTGAGGATGTATTCTCTCAAACTCTCTAGCAGCATTCACATTGACATTATTATTATAAGAGCTAATTCAGCTAAATGGCTGATAAATAGTGTATTGACTGCCTCCATCCCTTCCTTTCTGTGATGGATTGTCACCCTTGGTCCCTTTATACCCAATGACTCTTCACAGCTGTTGCAAACATATCAAAACATTGTTAAGATAATTGGTAATTCTTAAAATGCTCATGCATAACTGGTCATTGCTACCAAAATCATTTCTACCTATGTCTCCAAAATTATCAGCATGTACAGTATGTACCATTATTACATGTATTTATACTGTTACTGTGGCAATGACCAACAAGTAATGGGAATTGCCAAATAGTTGTCCATTTCATGATGTCAGAGTATGTTTCTCTGATGACTGGTTTTCTATAAATACCCATATAGCAAAGGAAACAACTCAAATATTTTAGTGAAGTGAAAGTTAAAAATATAATTTCTCTTTGCAATATTGGTGTTCGAATTTTGAAATGAGTCAACCCTGAACCAAGTGTTGTAGGTTTTCTCTGGGTACTACGGTTTACTCACACGGGAAGAAAAATCTGTTTGAAAAAGGTGTCCACTTTCATGACCATTTGACTGGCACTGCATGCATTTATTGTTGACCTACAGACAAGGGATTCAAAGCAATACATTTTGCCAGAAGTGATTATTTGCACATTCAGCTTTTTAGTTTCTTATCTCAATCAATCTGCAGGCAAAAATCATTGCATACAACACAAATATAATGATGTGGACATCAACTGATATCTTGTTTTTTTTAAAGAAATACAATGGTTTACATAGGTTATGATAATTATGGTTAGGTAAAAATAATACTATATACAAATTAGCATAATATATCTAACCCAGAATAAGAACATCTATACAAAGTGAGAGGTGCAACTTTAAATAATAACAACATAGTGTTGATATATGCTAATTTGTAGATGTATATGTAGTTTTCTGTATAATTGTATTAATATATTCTATATTGTTATTAATATTTTTTGTATATACTTTGTTATGACCAAATGCATCTGATTGGTTTAATTTTTGTCACATGATCATAAAAGCTCGTGTAATTTTCCAGACCCCGCAACAAACTTCCCGACGAAGGGCCTTCGCTCGAAACATTGTCCTTGTATTTTTCAGGTAGTTACATCCCTACCAAACAGGGGCGAAACTTGAGTTGGGGGGGGGGGTGTTCAGGGGGTGGTCCAGAAAAATTTTCCACCCCCTCACCACCCACCCACCCCTGTTCGCCAGCATTTTGGGGAAACAGTGGCCAGAAATGAAAATTTGCT